GGTGGTGGTGGTGGTGGTGGTGGTGGTGAGACATCAAGTTATCGCCCCATCATTCAATCGCCGGCGTATTCGGGGAGTAATAATGGAAACGGTGGTGGGAATGGTGGTGGGAATGGTGGTGGAGCTACTGGTGGGACTGGTGGGACTGGGAATAAGTCCAAGAGTTATTCGGCGTCAAGACAAAGTCAACAACGTTCAAGCAACACCCCAAAATGTCAAAGCAGTTACACGCCGGGGACCCCCAAACCCAGTTCCGTCATCGCCAGTCAATCTCCTGCTTATTCTCCTGGTCAACCACCCAACTTATTGACCATGGGACCTACTGGTGGTTACTCAACCAACCCACCACCACCACCACCTACTTTAGGATCAAGTGGACAACCTACTGGTGGGTTTCCAAACCCTTCAAGTGGTGAATTAACGAATAAAGCATCAAATTATTCATCTACTGGTCAAAATGGTGGTGGACCAAGTGGTGGTCAAGGTAACCAAGGGTTACAACCTTGTGTAAGTCAAGGTCAAAGTTACTCCTCAGATCAACTTCAAGGTTTAACTTATGGAGTTCAACCAGAAAGTGGTCAAACATCAAGCACGGCGGTGAGTTACGGAGCTCCACCACCATCTCAAGGACCTTCGTTGAGTTATAACACTGGTCACTCACCAGTTATGCCACCAACTCCTCTTCCATACGCCGGTTCTCCCATCATCAGACCTCTTCAATCATCTCCAACCACGAGGTCACAGAGTGGGACATCACCAGGAACATCTCAGAAGTATTTAGGGTCTGTTTTATCTCCATCGTTCCTCAGTCCCACCCATTACGGTGGTGGTGGTGGTGGTGGTGGTGGTGGTGGTGGTGGGACAAGCGGCTTAGAACGTTCCTCAAGTTTTGGGAAGAATGGGAAACCACCAGAATTATTAGGAGAAGAAAGGAATGAAGATGATGATTTTTTAATTCAACATCTTCTTCAAGGTCCAAGTCCACCACGTGGACCAGGTGATGATGGGTTGGGAAGTTGTGAAGAAAGAAATGGTGGTGGTGCTGGTGGTGGTGGTGGTGGTGGTGGTGGGACATGGGACAACCGGTAAGAATTTAGGTGGTTATGGAAGTTTAGGGAAAGCTGAAGAGAGATATCAACTCCAAAGTGTCATCAGACCCAACTCCAACCTTGAAGGTCCAGGAAGTTTGGAGTTGGCTTTGTTGAAGGAGAAGAAGAAACCAGAAAGAGGGAAAGACTATCGAACTGGTGGAACTGGTGGAACTGGTGGTGGGAATGGTGAAGGTTTAACAGCTACGTCAGTGGTTCATTATGGTCATGGTGGTGGTCCACCACCTCCCCCACCACTTTACCACCATCATCATCATCGTTGGATTCTTACGGGCAAGAGTTGAAGAAGTCAACGGAACATCTGAGTGGTGGGAAGGAGTTGGGTCAAGCTCATGGTTATCTCCCCAAAACACCTGACCACGGACGCTTGGTGGCTGAAGGACCAACCATGGAATCTCATGGACTTCTTTTAGATCCATCTCCTGAGTTAGGACCTGTCCCAGTTGTCCCAGTAGCCGTCCCAGTACCCGGTACTGGTGGATCTCTTCTTTCTTCCGTCCTCACTCACACTCAAACTCAACTCCACCCTCGTGCTAAGGTCAGACCTCAACTCGACGTCCACCTCTTAGAACAACAACGGATGCCACCACCACCACCACCACCTCCACCACCACCACCACCACCTCCACCAGCACCACCAGCTCCACCAACTGCTCCATCACCTCAACTTCTCCTGGAAGCTCATCTCCACCAAGCCCACGTCCGCTCTCAAGCTTTAGATCCTCAAGCTCCACCACCTTTACCACCTGAATCCATGGAAGTTCTACCACCTCCCCAAGAAATCCAAGACTTTTTAGAACCTCCTTTAGGTTTAGAACCTCATTTAGGACCAACTGGTGGAGTTCAAGGACCACCAGGTCATCTTTTAGATCCTGAAGGAGGTCCACCAGTGACCAACACCTCGTTAGAAGCTAAAGATCAATATGGAGAAGGTGGAAGTCCACCTGGTGGTAAAAATCGCTTCGTTCCTTTGACCTCCATCTGCTTCCCAGATGCTTTGCTTCAAGATGAAGATCGTGGTTTCTTCCCAGGGATGGAGGACATGTTTGGACCACCACCAGAAGACTTCCCTAAACCTACTGAAGATGATGATGATGATGAAGAAGGAGGAACAGGTTCTTTAGAACCACGTTCAGAAGGTTTAAAAACTTCTCCCTATGACATGGGTCAAACTTATTCTACTTATTGTCCCACCACCGATGGTCCAAGTTCTGAAGCTTCATCCATCGCTTTAGAACCTTCTAAACACGAGTTACCTTCAACCGTCAACGCCGAACCGTTGGGTTTGATCCAAAGCACGGTAGAAACCACCACCACCACCAAACCTTTGATGGCTTCACCTCTTTTTTGTTCTTCTAAACCCAAAAAGCTTCTCAAGACTTCATCTTTCCATCTTCTCCGTAAACGTGACCCCTTCCCACCACCCAAGAAGACTTACGCTCAAGAATACGAGTTCCAAGACGATGAAGACAAGGTGGACGTCCCAGCTGACATCAGACTCAACAGTCGTCGCTTGCCCGATCTTCTCCCCGACCTCATCTCCAGTTGTCGGGCTCGTCCCAATCTCAGTCCAATGGGTGACATCGATTTTTGTCCCCACCCTGGACCTCATCCAGGACCTAAAAAACGTGGGAGGAAACCAACGAAACCTAAACGTGAAGGTCCACCAAGACCAAGAGGGAGACCAAGGATTCGACCTTTGGTGGAACCATCTGGGCTTCTGGTGTCTGATGGGGTGAAAAAACCACGTGGGAGAGGAAGAGGAAGAGGGAAGAGAAGTGGGGAGGAAGGAGGTGACGGGAACGGGTTGGAGCCGCTCAAGCCACTCAAGGTGAGGAGCTGGGGGGTTCTTGGAGGTTCTTGGACATCAAAGTTGGGATCTAAAGAGGGTTTTGGGTTCCTTGGTGGGTTCCTCTTGGTCTGTTGCTCCATGATGACCCTAAAAAGCCTCAAGGTTGGAGTTGGAGATGGTTTGGAGACCCTCAAGGTGAGTTTTTGGAGGTTCTTGGAGGTTCTTGGAGGTGAAGGTTGGGATCTCAAGAGGGTTTTGGGTTCCTCGGTGGGTTCTTCTTGGTCTGTTGACTCCCAACGTCATCAGAAGGCCCCAAGATTGGAGGTGGAGATGGTTTAAAGAACCTCAAGGCCTTCAAGGTGAGTTTTTGGAGGTTCTTGGAGGTCTTTGGAGGTCAAAGTTGGGATCTAAAGAGGGTTTTGGGTTCCTTGGTGGGTTCCTCTTGGTCTGTTGCTCCATGATGACCCTAAAAAGCCTCAAGGTTGGAGTTGGAGATGGTTTGGAGACCCTCAAGGTGAGTTTTTGGAGGTTCTTGGAGGTCTTTGGAGGTCAAAGTTGGGATCTAAAGAGGGTTTTGGGTTTCTTGGTGGGTTCCTCTTGGTCTGTTGCTCCGTGATGACCCTGAGGTGAGAGGTTCTTGGAGGTTCTTGGAGGTTCTTGGAGGTTCTTGGAGGTTCTTGGAGGTTCTTGGAGGTTCTTGGAGGTTCTTGGAGGTTCTTGGAGGTTCTTGGAGGTTCTTGGAGGTTCTTGGAGGTTCTTGGACATCAAAGTTGGGATCTAAAGAGGGTTTTGGGTTCCTTGGTGGGTTCCTCTTGGTCTGTTGCTCCGTGATGACCCCAAAAAGCCTCAAGGTTGGAGTTGGAGATGGTTTGGAGACCCTCAAGGTGAGTTTTTGGAGGTTCTTGGAGGTCTTTGGAGGTGAAGGTTGAAGGTTGAGGAGATGTTTTGGGTTCCTGGGTGGGTTCTTCTTGGTCTGTTTCCTCCCAATGTCATCAGAAAGCTCCAAGTTTGGAGATGTTGATGGTTTGGAGACCCTCAA